AAATTCCAAAACAAACCAAACCAATAAGTTTGTTTGTTTTCAAACATGGTGCTTAGAGTTATATTCTACTCAACACAGTGAACCTGTATTTATATAGAATGTGTAGCGTTGATGCTACTAATTTATTCTTCTGAATTATGCAGCAGAAAAGCTGTTTAAAATTGTAAAAAGAAATACCATTTGAATCACTATTTGTCACTGAGCTATAGCGGTGACTAAACTGCATATAGTGGGGAAGCGTATATTATATATGTATGATGTTCTGTGTTCTCTTTTACTCATTACACTTGCCCTTGTCCAGAGTTACTGATGGGGCGTGGAATTATCAGAAACTGGTATAACTAAGTGACCAGTGGGGAGTCGGATGATAGAGTGGGCTTCACATATATTTTTTAATTAGTTGTTTTAGCACCCTGTTCACCATGGAGGGATCAAGCCTTGAATTTTAGGGTTGTAACTCCGTAAACTTACCTCTGACCCACAGGGATACATCGCTATAACATTATTAATAATGTAACTCATATCAATAAAGAATCGTGTGATGTATTATTATTACCGATTTGAAGATAATATAAAATCACACAGATATTTCTAAATTTCATTATCAATCACCTAAGGCATTCCACGATCTAATTCAACAATTTTTAATTAACTATATGCTGTATAACGACAAGCATTGCTTATCAGGCAAGAAAGTGATATAAACATTACACAAAGTATAGTTTTATGTGAAATTATTCTTAGTTTAATCGTTACCAGTGACTTTTAATGTTACTTTAATTTAAATCTGGTATTTATTAGTGACTTTCTTCGGTTTTCTAAATTATCGGAGCATGACCTGACGTGGTGACATGGTTTGTAACGACGTGGTGTGTCTCCAAAATCGTTTTAACATAATGTACTCAATCTTTGTGTTCTGATCGATAATGTGTCGGAATGCATATTCTAGCACAGATGTTATTCTGAAATAATATGTATCCATTTACATTTGAATAATGCATTACTTTATGTAACTTAGAATTTCAGCCGCAAAGCTTACAGTTTAACTACATAAAACTGCATAGCGTGTCATGTGTTACTAAAAGTTTAAGAGATGCATCGGTGGGTCAAGTAAAGTCGTCAGACTAGCGGTGAGTCTGCGAGCCTGTTGATACAAAATAATTCTTATATGCAAATATTTACGAGCCTAAGCAGTTTGTCGGTGTCCCTTATCTATAGGTTGTGATAAGGTTTCTGTAGAGGTTTTTCTTTTGACGTCATGTTTGTTTGTTTGTTTGTTTTTTGAA